TACGAATCGGGCTGCGAACCTTAAGGTCAGTGGTTCGAAACTACCAGTCGCTCCGCGGGAGAAAGATGAGGCTTTCTACTCCCGTAAAGATTTACAACACCCTCGGAAACCCTGTACAGGGTCGCTATGGGTCGGACCCGACTCGATGGCACTTAACAACAACAACAACAACAGAAATTACCCAATATTTGAAAGATCATTTTCAGTATTATAGGCCATTTTCAATACCATTTGATTGGCAGCTTTTGCCTCGTTAAAAAGCCACCTGGGAATTTGATTTGGATTTCATTTTATCTTTACATAAATTTTGAAGTCCTGGTGTGGTGCTATAATATAAGCACTGGTCTTCTAACTGTAAAGTTGGTGGTTCAAACCCACAGGCTGCTCCTTGGAAACCTTATACAGGGTTGCTATGATTCAGAACCAGTTTGGTGGTACTAAACCAAACATACTTCACCAGATGGAATACACAGAAATCAAATTGACTACATCTGCAGAAAGAGATGGTAGAAAAGCTCCAGATCATCAGTCCAAACAAGGCCAGGGGCAGAAATTCTCCTATGCAAATTCAGACTGAAGCTGAAGAAAATGAGAACAAGTCCATGAGAGCCAAAATATGGCCTTAAATAGATGCCAACTGAATTTAGAGATCATCCGAAGAACAGATTTGATACATTAGACACTAAAGACCAATGACCAGAAGAGTTGTGGGATAACACGAAGAAAGCAAAAGGTCATTAAGAAGACAAAGAAGGAAGAGACCAAAGTGGATGTTAGAAGAGACTCTCAAACTTGTTCTCCAGCATAGAGATGCTAAAACAAATGGAAGAAATTAGGAGGTACAAAAGCTGAACAGAAAATTCCAAAGGTCAGCTCAACAAAGTCAATTATTATAAGGAAATGTGCAAAGATCTGGAGTTAGCAAATCAAAAGGCAAGAGCACACTCAGCATTTTTCAAGCTGAGGAAACTGAAGAAAAAAATTCAAGCCTCAACTTGCATTATTGAAGGATTCTCTGGGAAAATGATTGAATGATACAGAAAGCATCAAAAGAAGATAGGTGGAGCCTGAGTGGAGCTCGTGAACCGGGTGGTTGTGTGTTCATGTCTGGGAGTCTGGTAGTGCTTGCAGCATGACTGACTGGTTTTCACTCATAAGCCCTTGCTAATACAGTGATACTTCTCAAATTGTATCCCTATCCGGATGTATCTTCAAACTCCCATCATTTTCGTTTTGCCACAGCTACATATTTCATTTCGCTGTTATCTTTGAGTTCTCATAGTCCTGATCTATTCCCCCTTTTTTTTAAGCAGCTTTTGGTTAAGCACTGTCGAGTTGGTTCCGACTCATAGCGACTCTGTACAGGGTTTCCAAAGAGCAGCTGGTGAGGTTGAACTGCCTTCTTTGCGGTTCCAACCGACTTTGGAGTCCAGCACATTATTTAGAGTATACAATTCAGTGGTATTTAGTATATTTTCAGGTATTAATAACTGCCACTACTATATGATTTCAGAACATTTTTATCACCCTGTGCCTTTTAGCAGTTAGTCCCCATCCACCCTCCTTCTAACCCTGCTAAACAGTAATCTACTTCTGTCTTTATGTATTTGCTTATTCTGAACATTTCATGTAAATGAAATCATATAATGTGTGGTCTTTCATGACTAGTTTATTTGACTTAACAATGTTTTCAAGGGTTATCTATGTTGTAGCATGTATCAGTACTTCATTTCTGTTTTATGGCTGAATAGTATTCCGTTGTAAACATAAGAATGGACTCATCTACCAACAGTAAAGATGGCACTGGACTGGGCAATATTTTGTTCTGTTATACATATGATCACCATCGAGTGAGAGTTAATTTAATGGTAACTAATAGCCCTATTCCATTGTATGGATATACCACATTTATATATTCATAGACAAGTATGAAAATGCAAATGTCCATCATCATATCTGTTGATGGGCGTTTATATATATATATATATTTTTTTGTTTTGTTTTGTTTTGTTTTTTGTTTTTTTTTTTTACTGTTGTGGACAATCTAGTACACCTTTTTATGTGAATTCCTTGCCACTTATGAATTTACTTCTGCCATTACCTTTCTTGGAGTCCTGGTGGAGCGCTGTGGGTAAATGTGCCAGACTGCAAAGCCATTTGAACTGCATGGTCAGCGGTTCAAGCTCACCAGCTGCTCCTTGGAAACCCTATGCAGGGTCGCCATGGGTTAGAATCGACTCCACGGCACTTAACAACAATTACCTTTCTTGTTTGTTAGCTCAATTTAACAGTGGTCATAGATATATTTATATATATAGGGAGTCTCTGACTTGAGGGATTTTCTGAGAGTTCATTTAAAATTTAGTGAAACTCAGATTGTATTATGTTATAAATAAGAATATACGTGAGTCCCAGGTCAGTCAGAGAAAAGTACAGTTAGAGATTTGTTAGAATGTTAGGGATATCTCTTCTTCTTACATTGAGTCCATTTACAAATATTTTAATTAAGTTCTTTACTTTCTGGAGAACTTGTATCCCCTCAGGATATAACAAGTTTTTAATTCTTTGTTCATTACCTGTTCTATTTATAATTTTAATGATTGTGTTTTAGGTTAAATAAAAGCAAAGTGAATTGTTTCATACTGTGCTAGTTGTCTCAGCCCACATCAATAATCTCAACATTAGTAGCTAATTAGTTTGTAATGTGTATTTACTCTAAATTATTGAAGTCCAATATGATTCCTTATGTAAGATTTGCATTACAGTTTGTCTTGAGACAATTTAGGTAACATCTGGCTTTATATTAAGAATGTTGTTGTTGTTAAATGCCATCGAGTCGGTTCCAACCCATAGCAACCCTCTAGAGGGTTTCCAAGGTGAGCTTGAGCCACCAACCTTACAGTTCAAACTGACTTTGCAGAGTCTAGCACATTAACCCACAGCACCACAACAGGACTCCATTAAGAATAGTATCTGACAATTAAATTTTGAGTTACAAAATGATCTTGCTTATAAGGGTAAGTAAATGGTTTTTTACATTTAAGGTAGAATTGAGAGTGATGTCAGTTTGAGAAGACTGCATTGATATCTACCTTATTGCTCAAAGAGAATAAGACTCAAGTGATAGTTCTAATTGCTTATGTCATCTAGTCACTATTTTTTTTTTATTTTAACTTTAGATACAAAAGTTTTGCAGTACTATTTCAATCTGGGATTGCAGGTATGAATTAATTTTAACTTTCTTGATAAGCTCTGTATTGAAAATATAAACTGATCATGATAATCAGATTCTTGAACATTATAAACCCAGAATATCGTTTGAGGATCCTAGTTCTGAGTTGGATATTGTTAAGGGGCCTAAAATTTTTATATCTGTCAAATAAGATCTTTCCAAAGACAATATAGGCCAGTTATCTGTTAAATTAAGTAGAGTGGGTGTTAGGGTCTAAGCAGCCCAACCTCGGCATGTATTAACCTTTATTATATTAGCCTCCATGTTTAACATTATATGCCAACTGTTCCCTGTGTTTTCTATCTTAAAGTAAAAATGGAGTATTTATCTTCCTTACTTAAATATTCTTTATTTCTTATTGTGCATTTTATGTGAAAAGTAATCAGACTAATTCAAAAATATTTAGAAAGATCTATTATTTTTAAAAACATTTACGCATTCATAGGTATCTGGCAAACACCAGTTTTCAACATAATTCTGAGTCATAGAGGTTATTACTGACAAATGTCTTTAATATCACTGAAAGATATCTTGATTGTAAGATGGGAGCTCATTTTCTTCTTCAGGGATCATTTTCTCCTTGAAACTCACTTCTGATATACCAAGATGGCATATTTACTGAGAATAAATTATATATTTTAGAATTGGTAAATAAAAGACACCAGCTGCTCCTTGGAAACCCTATACAGGGTTGCCGTGAGTTGGGACCAACTTGGTGGCACTTAACAACAACAGTTAATTACTAATAATCTTCTGGGTAATGCACCAATTAGCTTACGTTCCCAGATTCTAATTTTCCTACATCCGTGGACATATCATTGCCAGAATACTCTTTCCCCAGTTGGAACAAATTTCTAAATTAAGAGTAGTCAGGTGGATTTTTGTTCTCGAGAATATTGTTTTCTAAATATTGTTTCAAGAGTTTAAAAAAGCTTAAAAAATAAAACTATCTGCCCCTTTATTTATGTTTATTATAGTCACATATAGAAAGGAAACTGCAATGTATTCTATATAGTAGAGTCATTTGAGTATTCTCTGGCCTTTTTATATCTTCAGAATACCAGGAAATGAAGAACAGATACTGTAATACGTTTTTTCACATTAGCAATAAGGAAGTGTTCTTTATAAAACATTTCAGAAATAATAAAGTATAAAAAAAGCAAAATCACCTTTAAAACCACTGAATATGTTGATATATTTTCTTATAGCTTATTATTGCTTATAAAATATGGATTATACTATATATTTTGTAATATTTTAACTTAATAAGCATGTGCTTTTTACTGCCTTTTTAGTGTTCCATTATGGATATATCATAATTCATTCAGCCAGTTTCCTGTTGTTGAACACTAGATTCCTTTTTTCCCCATTTTAAAAAAAGACATCTTTATATGCAGATCTTTGAGTACATTTTTAATTTTCTTAAAAGAATGTCTAGGTCCAAATACGAGAAATAGATGCTGCAAAAGATCTTAAAAGCTAGAGAACAGAATGTCTAACTGACATATTGTTAAAGGAAGTCATTTTTGCCATACCTGAAAATCATGGCTAAATTGTTTTAGTCCAGAACTATAATAACTTAAAGAATAAAAGCAAACCAAACTCATTGCCATCAAGTTGCTTTCCACTCATAGCAACCTTATAAGACAGAGTAGAGTAGAGCTGCTCCCTAGGGTTTCCTAGGCTGAAATGTTTATGGAAGCTGACAGCCACATCTTTCTCTCATGGGTTCGTGCTGATGACCTTTGGTTAGCAGCCAAACAACTACTGAGTTACCAGGGTCCCTCACTTTCTGAATAGGTACAGTAAACTTGTTTGTTTTTTTTTCCCCCGTCTTACTCAAGTGCTATCATCACAACTACTGGCACTCCATGGTCTATGTGCCACAGATGCAGCAGCAACTCCATGTAGAGAATTACCCAGTCTTTGCTGAGGCACCTCCTCTGGTAGATCAAACCATTCCTCAGTTTTACAGCGAGGCGGGACGAGCAGATGGCACACAGGCAGAAGCATCAGCAAATGGTGAGTGTATAATGAGATTGACTGCAAGAAAGACTATTGGATTTTGTTGTGTGTGGCACTGTGAGTTAATGTGCTCAACTGCAAAGTTTTGAACTGCAAGGTCAGTGGTTCAAGCTCACCAGCCACTCCTTGGAAACCCTATCCAGGGTCACTATCGATCGGAACCAGTTTGATGGCACTTAATAACAACAACAATTTAGTAAGAGCCTTCTTCAGCTGTTTTATTAAATCTATATTCTAGCTTTGCAGTTCTCGGAGTATGCTCTACAGACCCGTGGGGGGTCTTTGAGACACTTTTAAAGGGGTTCTTGAATCCAAAAGTATTCTAAATAGTAATGAGGTTTTATTTTCCCTTTTACTTTGTTGATATTTGCACTGGTGTTGCACAAATCAGGGCAGCAGCACCCAACTGCACTATTAGCCAGTGTGCCACTTACTTGTGATAGAAGAATGCATGGGTTTTTTTCCAATATAGACATTCACAATTTTACTAAATCTTTCATTTTTATTAGTTACCTTTCATACTGTTTGACAAAGTGTGACGTATGTGGAAAGCACTTCTGCATGATAAATGAAGAATAATGACTAACTTAAGGGTATAATGATTAAGTTAAAGGAAAGTGTAAATCTCTTAACAGTCTGAACTAGCTGACTTTTTTCTTGAAACATTGTTTTTATTTGAAAGAATGATAGACAAGTATGGCTAATCAGACTTGGGGATCTGGCAGATATTTTAACAAATGAAAAGATTAAGTCACTTCAAGAAAAACTCCAGAGTTTTTACCGTCAAAAATAAAATTCAAACTTTCAAATAAAAATTAGAGTTTTGGAAAATTTGTATTCAGAACTGTGAGCTTGACAGCTTTCCAATGCTTAAAACATCTCGAATAACATGTTGTTGTATGCTGTGTAGTCGGTTCCAACTCATAGCAACCCTGTATAGGGTTTCTGAAAGCGACTGGTGGCCTTGCAGGTAGCACTCCAGTGCTCATTATACATGAAGACTCACTAGTAATGTAGCCAAGGAAATAATAAGAAATGTGATTTATGTTGTATAATACACTCCATATTTGGGACATCTGCATGATTTCCCAATTACTAGCATATGATAGTACACATATATGATTTTGTAAAGATCTAATCAGTATCCAAATTAGAACATTGGATTTGAGTTATAGCAGAATATGAAAAGTCCAAATTGTTACTGACCCTTAAGAAACTGCCATTTTTCTGATTTGGGTATGGTATCAAAGTAATCTACAATTATCTGAAAAGGCTATTTTTGAACAATTTCTATCTTTCCCAACTACCTGTCTGTCTGTATGAGCCATATTTTCTCCATGTACTTCAACCAAAAGAACATATCTTAACAGATTAATGCAGAAATACAAGAGCATATAGCTGTCTTTTATTAAGCCATACATTTTTAAGCCATACATTTACATTATTAAGCACAAGTGTAAAACACTGCTATTTCGCATTTTTTTAAATTGGAAAACATTCATTAAAATTGTGTCTTCACATAGTATGCTCAATTTTAAATGAATTAGTAAATAAACATTTTTAAGTTGGTTTCATTTGTAATCTGGTAAATATTGTTAGCTTTAAGGGGTCCTTAATTTTTAAGAGTGTTAAAGGATCCATGAGAACCACTGTGCTAGACATAGGATGGGTATTCTAAAGTCTGTTAAGTTCACAGAGTGATATAAATCAAGAGGCATTTGGGGAAATTAGAATGGGATCCTTAGACTACCCTTCTTAGATATCAGCATAAGGTGTAGAATCAATGATGCAGACTAACCAAACTAAATCTGCTTTATGGTCCAGCACTGCTACTTAGTGGTTAAGATAGTGGCTAAGTTACTTAACTTCTCTAAACCTGATTTTCTATAAAATAGAAAATACTTGACCTTCCATGGTTATTCTAAGACCAACATGAGATGGAATATACAAATGTGCAGTGCCTAATGTGTATGAGAATGTCAGTTTACTTTCTCTTTTCCCTTCTCTTCACTAAGCATATTGTTGTTGTTAGGTCCCGTCAAGTCGATTTTGACTTGTAACAACCCTATATAGGCTTTCCAGAGGCAACTGGTAGGTTTGAACCACCAACCTTGTGGTTAGCAGTGCAGTGTTTATCCTACAGTGTCACATCAGGACTCCTTAAGCATATTAGTGGTTTTGTAATGTTAGCAGTATAGATAGAATCTTGTGTGGTGTGTGGCTCATGGCAGTAAAAATTAAAATGTTAAACTTTATTGAATGTACAATGTACTTTTATAGAGCTGTTTTTAATTGTAGTAAACCACTGGGCAGTGGCAGTTTTCACAGAATAAGTTGATCTGAGTTATTCCAAGTACTGAACTGTCCTTTTCATTTAATACATGTATTCACTACCGCAAACTAGGTCAGAAGAACATCTATTGACACTGAAACCGATTTGTAATAACAAGTGCTATTAAATTAAAATACTAAAATCTTAATGGCACTACATGATGCTGTTGTTGTTAACTGCCATTGAGTCAGTTCTGATGTAAAAGGACTCCCTTCAGGGTTTCTGAGGAGCAGCTGGTGAGTTTGAACCATCAACCTTGTAGTTCAAACAGAACTTGTGGTTGAGTGCTTATCCTCAGTGCTACACCAGGACACTACATAGATGACACTTTAATGTTTTGTCTTTCAGAATATTCTTTAGTATGGAACAGACTATAGAGACACCTGGATTTTTAATTGCTGAAGTAATACAAAATGGTTATTTGATTGATAACTCTTATGCTACGAAAGCTATTGGATAACTTAATTGTGATCAGTTATAAGTTTTGAGAAGGAATCTAGAGAATGCTGCTTTATGCATTTGGCATATTGGTACCTAAATCATCCCAGAAAGATCTTTAGGTAGATTACATTTGACACACATCACATACATTGAAATCCTTTTTTTCATTTGCAGATTTTCATATCTTTTGGTAGGCTGTTTTAGCCACTATTGTTCATCTCTAAAGTACTCCTGTTGTAGTTACTGAGATCTTTTCTATAGTCTGTGATCAATTTTTTTTCACTTACAAGAATATCCATTTATTTTTTTAGCTCAAAACACCAACTGAGAGGGAAGGAGTCCTCACATCCAAAATCAATCCTGTCCACTTTGTATACAGGATTAATAGGGATGAGCAATTTAGACATTGGCTACCTAAAATGGGAGGGGGGGCTATAAAGGCATGAAGTGACTGGCTTACAAGTTTTCAAGAAGGAGTTTAGTTTCAGAGTGTGTGTGTTGGGGTGGGGGAGGGGGAGAGGTAGAATCCCCACTGAATCGTTTTCATCTTGTCTAGATGGGACTGGTGAAAGGACATGGGGGATAGGCTTCTTTTAATTCAATAGTGAATAATTGTTATCATGACTAATTGTGACTGTCACAACTGTATAGGTAGAAGTTTTGCAACAAAAACAGGGGAGTAGTTAATCTTACAGTCCAGGAACAGAGAACGCTAGGACCATCAAAGGAAAAGAGCATGAGCAGAATGTGGGACCCTACGCAGAGAAGTAGCAACACCAGAGATGAGAGCATGGAGAGAGAGCAGCTGAGGACTCTAGACTCATGGAAAGAGAAAGGCTGTGTGTGCTGGTGGCCAGGTGCTGGTGGCCAGGGGGCAGGCTTGCAGAATGTGTCCTTTGGTTGTTTAAACAATTATAGATTCCTGAATGATTTTGTGTATATCCCCCCCACCCCCCCAAAAAAAACCAACAGAGGAAATAGAAGCAAATGTGATGATGCACAGAGATTATAATCATTGCAATCAAATGAAGAGTGTAAAACGCTGATGTTCCCCCATGTAAACTAATTACTCAATTCACAATAAAAACAAAAAAATATATATCCATTTATGCTGCATAAGGTTCTCTTTAATGAATTGTGCTATCTGAATTATTTGTTTCAGGTACTTTTTCTAATGCTGACCCTGCAGCTGTCCCTCATGGAGCAGTATATTATCCAGTAATGTCAGATCCCTATGGGCAACCACCTTTGCCGGGTTTTGATTCCTGCCTGCCTTTTGTGCCAGATTATTCCTATGTTGCCCCCTGGCATCCAGTTGGTTCACCATATGGTGGTTCTCAAATTCATGGTGCTATGAATCCTGGACCAGTTGGTTACATTGCTTCACCTCCTCCAACTTCTCATTACGTACCTCACAATATGTAAGAGTCCGCAGTATGAAGTATTCTTGCACTGCCATTTTTCTGGCTGTTTTGTTTCTTTTAAGTGTTTTATGTTAGTGCTTAGATGATTTATATATTTAGATTGATTCTTGTTGTATTTGCCTTAAAGGTTATTTTGTCTTTTGACTTAAGTTAGTATTTTAAAATAAAGAAATAGTACTTTTCATTACGATAAGCAAATTGAGATGAATGTACAACTCCACACTGAACATTGTATTCACCTGTTTATCTGTCAGACAGCTTGTAAATCTTGTGTTAGCTGATGGTACCATTTGATAAAAGCAATACATCATACAAACTGTTTCCTTGGTTCAGAAACCACATATTAAACCATGCAAAATGGAAATAATGTAATATTTCTTCTAGAAATTAAGACAGCAAAACCATGTATCTTTGGTTTTCTGGATGACAAATTAACATTAAATGAGAACCCTCTCCAGGTCTCCTAAGAATTGTCTGAGGTGTATACTATGATGTTAATCAGTTTTGAAGGAATATGGTTCTCAGCTTTAGATTTATACTATGTACAGTTGTTTAATAATTGGATTTGTGTAACTATTTACTGCACAGTATTGAATTGGTGTCCTTTGCACAGTTAGCAGTAAATAAAAATGAGCATTTAAAATTACCTAAATGTCTGAGAGTTTCTTCTTTTCATGACAACAAAGAATACCAGACATTTGATTCAATATTTTTTATACCTTAGCATTCTGGTTTCAAAAGAATGTGAATTTATAACATGAACCTAGTGGGGAGTGTTTGCAGGGCCACTTGTTTATTTAATCTCAAGTCATTTCTGTGGATACTACTGTATCTAGTTCTAGATCTATGAGTATGTCAATTTCTAAGTTGTGTTACTGACTTTTAAAATCTGTAAACCTCTTTTCAAGCTTTAATCTATGCTTAATTTTGCATTGTATAATACTTCAAATAGTTATAGTATCTGGCTACAACTTGGATTTTTAGTCTTACCATGTATCTGCAAGATCTTACTTTTCACTGACTATGATCTATTTCATCAGCCTTTTGGCTGCCTCTCTTTCATCTATGTGAGGATCACAAGATCTTCTGGATTCAACAGTTTTCCTCTAAGGGGTAATTTATCATGAATGCTTCACTATACCTCACCTGGCGAGCAGCTGTTTTAAGTGTTGTTGGGTTGTTATAAATCCATAATATAGTGAAACCTATGAAAGTGAGAACTTCATGGGACTGCCTTATTTTTCTGGGTCTCACTACTTTTCTGCCTTTGACAGTGTAGTCTTAGCAGTTTTCTATTTTTAGTTTTAGTGGAAAATATTTTAGTTTTCCTTATTTGAAAGGGTTCTGCCTTACACGGTTTTCACCTTTCCCAAGTTTGACTATAATATTGTTTGAAGATTATTTATGCTTGTGACTCAAATCTAGATTTCCCAAGCTTTGATTACGCCCCAAGTAAAAAGCACAACTCAGAAACATCAGGGTAGCTTAATGGTTGAAAGTAGTGGAGTGGTGGAATCCATCATAAAGAAATCCGCCTATGTTTCAGTGTACTATTTTGAAGATAATTGATAAATCTTTTATTCAGTTCCAACTAAACCAATGTGATAATGAAAACATCTACTTTATAATAGACATGCAACAATTTTTTTTTTTTTTTCATCCTTAGTCTTGAGAAGTACTTCTAAGACAAGGTGGCATCTGGCAGCTTTAGTAAAGAAAGATGGATGGCAGTGCAGACACCTTGCTTTTGTGTACTGTTTGTAGCTACTTCTCTGCTTGGCCTACTGGGTTCTCAATTTATGGAACCTACAGATTATATTCTGAGTAAAGATTTATTTTAATCAAGTTTAAAACATTGAAGCAACCGCTCCCCAACAAATTTCAAATGTACTGGCATCTCTGAAGTATGAAGGTAAGTCAAAAGTATTACTACAAAATCATAGAAACCTTTATTAAACAGAAAAATATCAAAATGTGAGGCCATTGTTTCTTGAAATAGTCTCCATCTAGGTGTATACACTTCTAAAGGTGGTACTTTAATCTCTAACTCTTCTATGAAGAATTCTGTGCTCTTAGATCTACACCACATCAAAATGGCAGTTTGGACATCTTGAGGGACTTAAATAATGTTGCTTTTAAATGTTCTTTGACTTTAGGGAACAAGATGTCTGAGGGTGCAAGATCAAGGCTTGTAGGGTAAATGGAATGGTTTCCCAATGAAATTTTTAAAATGTTTTATTGTGAATTATGTGATAGTTTACATGGGAGAACATTAGTTTCACATTCATCCTATCGTATATCATTTCATTGCCATGGTTACAATCCCCTCCATGCATCATCAACCAACCAAAGGGTATACACTACAAGCCTGCCCCCCGGTCGTCAGCACACAGCCCCTCTCTCTGGGTCTAAAGTCCCCAACTGCTCCATCGCTCTACATCATC